CCGTATTCGCATGCATTCCAGAACCAGACATTTACAAATAATGAAATAAATGCAAAATCTACTTAACCACAAACCAGTGAGAAATCGAAAAGAAAGTTAGGGTTTGTTACCTCTTTTGAACTCAACTCTTGAAAGCGTAACTCCGGAATTAAATGTCCTCCGTTTACAAACACCGGTCTAAAAACAACTGAACAAACCTTCGACAAATCGACTCCTGAATCGCAGAAATATGTGCGAACTACAAGCGAAGTGAAGTGGAAATTTTTCGAAATTTTTTCGCAAAGGAGATGAAGGGTTAAAAGTACGAAATTTGCTATTTATACTGTCCAAGTGAAGCGGTTGATGTGACATTTACTGCATGCAATCCAACGGCTGTAATAAAACGCCTTTTCAAAAACACCCTACTTTGATGAATGACACGTGCCCCATTACTTTATTACATTTTCCCGCCAAATCCTAGGCAAAAATTTCAAACAAGTGTGAAAACGTATTCACTCCTATTTTCGGTTTCCGTTTTAAATTGAGCAAAGCCTATCTGCAATTCGCTCACTTGGGGGGCAAATCGAATATTTTCTGACTGTGTCTCTTACGCAACACATCACAAGGTTCCATCGCAAGTGAGCACGTTAGTTTTACTAACGTCCTCACTTGGGGGGCTAGTTGTACGGGATATAATGGTAGCAACCTTGATATGCCGGTAGCATCCTTTATAAACCGGTAAAAGAGTGCTGTGCAGTTTAAGCCCTCATTAATCGGTGAATAAACCATGGTCCTTACCGGCATTACTCTATGCCACGTGGAGAGCTGCTTCTCGTCACGTACCATGTCTCTCTGGCACGTGGAGAGTTGCTTGGGGCCACGTAGGCACCTTCTTCCTATGAGGTCGGTGTGCCACCTATCTGTATAGGTGGCACCTGCTTGGTTGTGTTTCTATAAATACCCAAGCAAATCCCCATTTCAAAGGTAGAATCTCTCTCTCCCTAAAACACTTTCTCTCTCTTATTTCACTTTCTTCTCACAAAGGTACTGACTTTAGCATCGGAGTGGTTATTCCCGGATAACCCCCAGGCTAGCTAATCTGTATTGGCTGTGTAGGTGTGCAATTGGACGGTAAACCATTACCAGCCCTCGGACACTGACGGAAGCAGAATTCAGCAGGAACAATAATGCATTGCAAAACATGATACAACTTCGATCATTGAGTGTAAGTAGTATTGAGATTAATGAAAATGTTCAAGTTTATGATGAAGAAGTAGTTCTTGATTTGAGCAACTTAGTATCTCGGATCTTTTACCAAAACAGCTAGTTTGACAAAAATGTCAGATAATATAAAATCTCTCATTAGAGTGATTTCCATTGATCGATATTTATAGGGTTACAATGAGAAACCTAATCATATTAGGTAACTATAACATATGTACAGATATCAAAGATAATCTTATACAAAATATATCCTAAACCTAGGATGAGAATATTCTATGGATATTCTCTATCACACCCCCGCAGTCAGAGTGGGAGAAAATCGGATGCTCAGAATGGATCTGAATCACGCATCGAACGGTAAGGATAGTATAGTAACCCATGATCAAAAGAGAAGTAGTAGACGTGTGCTGATGATGACGATGTGAAGCAACAACCACGACCTACGTATAGTAGAGATATGCGCTTTTAGGCCGAAGGAGAAGAGTCACGCTACACTACTACGTGAAATCACAGTTGAAGAAAAACAAATAAAATTGCGCAAGAAAAAATTAAATCCCACCGCTTGAAATTAATCAATTCTCAAAAGAGAAACCATGTAGCAAGAATTAATACTCCACAATGATTCCAAGTGCTGCAACAATAAAAGGAGCTAACTTGATAGCAAAAGAGATGTGCAAAAGTTGACCTTATTGTGATACTAGGTTAGGTCCCGTGCCATGCACGGTTATTTTTAATAATTGTTTCATATTAATACTACATTTAGTTATAAAATAAAAATTTGTTTAAAATATTATGCTTAATTTATGAAAGAGCCTATTGGCTAGTATATTTTCTTTAAAACTACTTTTGCCTACACATACCTCTATGTGCACCCGGGGGTATGTAAAAGGTGATAATTAGCCACTACCCATTGGCAAGACATGATTTTAAAAATATGCATTTGTTAATATGCATATATTTTTGTATATATTTGATATCACTAAATGAATTTATTAAAACGTAGGACATTAAAAATTATGTTAATAATTTTTTTTTCTTTTCTTTTTTGCTTAAATTTAAAGTTGTTATTTTTTTTTGGAAGGATAAATCAAATCTTTTATTTTAAGTAATTTTTTATTATTTGATATTCGAATTACTTTCTTGGAGCTTTTAATATATAATTAAATTAAAATTAAAATAAAAATAGAATCCTTCTAGTAATATTTGACACAAATTCTATAAAAAAAATCTATTTTTTTTATATAGTTGATAATATATTATGGAAATATATATCAAATCTTTTAATTGTGTATAAATTTGTTATCTTTTATTTATGTATTGTATAAGATTTGTTTCCAAAATATTTTTTTAATAAAAAAAAAAACTAAGGACACACCAGAAAATGACAAGTGTCATTGCTGGTGTGTCTTTTAGTATATAGTTATTGATACCACCACCAAAACAAAATCTATGTGATTATGTGTGAAAAAAAAACCAATGAGGCAATGTAAGAATCATTGTTGGTCATGGGGAGGTGGAAATAGAGTGCGGCACATGGAGTAGGTTGGCAGATGTGGTTACTGCCAGTAGTGGGAGGTGGTAGTGTATGCGATTGCCAACAACGATGGAGGAGGCTTTCGTGATTGCTACTGTTGGTAGGAGGCGCAAGGTTACATAAAGATTCTAAAAAAATAGTTTGAGAAAAGAAAAAAAATTCTATATGTGTGTCTGCGGAAGCATAAAAAACTTTGTATATCCCGCCGGTGGGTTTAATTTTCTAACCCACCGGCAGGGTGAGAATTTTTGTATATAATCCCGAGATCTAACCTAAGCTGTGATACCATGTCAGATAATATAAACTCCCTCATTAGAGTGATTTTCATTGATCAATATTTATAGGGTTACAATGAGAACCTAATCATATTAGGTAATAGAACTATAACATATGTACAGATATCAAAGATAATCTTATACAAAATATATCCTAAACCTAGGATGAGAATATTCTATGGATATTCTCTATTAAAAAGTATTTACCAAAACGGCTAATTATAAAATTTAATTCCCAAACTAGCTAATTTATTAACTTGGAAGGAATTTATCCATTTCTTATTTCCTTTGAACCAGTTTGATTCATTTTTTTTAAAATTTTTTTGTTTTTTTGGTTTATTTTTATTTCCTTAAAGATTTTTTTTAAGTTGGAAAATTTAAGCAGTATACAAAACTACGAAAAACGTAAACAGTCACAGACTCGCAAATCCCTAATTTCAATAAAAAAATAAAATAAAATTAAAAGCCCTAATTTTCCATCTTGATTATATCAATCACAAAATTTTGGAATTTCAAGTATTATTGTTCTATCAAGATTACCCCAAATTTATACGACGATAAGGGATTTTAAGGTATTGTTCATTTTTTTCATGTCTATTAAATTAATTGTATACTCTTTGTTTAAGTCGGTTAATATGAATATTTTTTTTGTTTAATGTGTATGATAAATCAAACTTACATATATTTATTTCTATCTTTATGTGTTTAAAAAAATAGTTGTATATTTTTTTTCTTTTGTTGATTGGAAGTTTGGATCATTTTTTTTGAGTGGGTTTATGTTGTGTAACTTTTTTAAAAATTGAGAATTGATGTATATATATTATGTTGATTGTTATTGTTCAAATTAATGGGATATTTTAAACTATGGCATTAGAATTTTAATAAAACCAACATTAAAAAAAATCTAATTCTTTTTAAATAAAACCAAATAAAAAAAAAAAGTGAACCGAACCTGGTCAAAGGAATATAAAAAATAAATAATATCCTTTCAAATCGATAACTTTAGCTAATTTGGGAATTATATTTTATAATTAGCCGTTTTGGTAAATAATTTTGTCAAAATAGTCATTTTGGTAAAAGATCCTAGTATCTCCTCCTGAATTTCTTGAGAGGGTTTACTTAAAGGGGCCTTTGGTAGGAAATGAATTGCCAAAATGGGTGCATAAACTCAAGCATTTGGTAAGATTGCGGTTGATAAACTCCGGGTTTACGAACGATCCACTCGAAAAGCTTAAAGTTATGCAAGGGTTGCTTGTGCTTGAACTTGATAATGCACATGATGGTATGTCTTGGATTTTGGGTACAAAGGGTTGAAGAAACTGGAGGTGTTGCGTATTATTAGGCTAAGGAAATTGAAGACGTTAAAAGCTGGGGAAAACGCTCTTCCAAAGCTTAATGTAGCTGAATATCATACTTGGTACAATCTAGAGGATATTCCACATCAAATTCGGAAAGCAAGTGATACATTGTTAAACACTCGTATTATGAGTCGTACCAAATCTTCGAAGTTCTAAGAAACTAGTTAATTGATTTGTCTTTCTGGATTTTATTGATAATGTATATGAGTTGATGATCAATTAGATTAGTTGGTTAGCTGTTTGTCAAACGAGATAATTATATGAACAATGAGGAGATTGTATATTATTCAATAAATGTGTAGTCGTGGGTAAGGGTAACGACTATTCTGCACTATAAAAGCACAAAGGTTGTTGATGATTATGTCGGTCTAGTATTTCTCGATTTAGATTAGCCTAAATTCATATATTGACTCTGAAAATTCTATAATTTTTTGTTATATATTAGTAGTGACATTAATGCATCAACAGACATAAAATTCGAAATCTTGCAATTAAAGGTGAACAAATAAATGAATTATTTGCATTACATTTATTTATGCCCATTCTTTCTAACAATTTGAACTCATGCATGAAACATTATAAAGTATTGCTTAACCATGAAAGTGCAAAATCAAAGAATTGAGATTGAGATAAGAAAAAGGTGAACATAGATTATAGTAAATTAGTAATAGACATCATTATCTAAACCAAGGGGGTTTCAAAAAAAAAGAAAAAAAAAAAACCAAAGGGGAATTATTTATTCATAAACATGGTAATAGTTGCATAATAAAGAGAAGGCAGGTTACAAGATTAATTAAAAGTAACAAGTCCCTTGGAAAGTTATAGCAAAGTTGGTTGACATGATATAATAATCAAGCCTTGGGTAAGAAACGATCGAAGCTAGCAGCAATCAAAGCACGTTTATTGCCATTGTCCTTGATCTCAGCTGTTGCTGAAGCACCTGTCTCAGCATCGACGAAGGTACTTGTGTTGGTGGATGCATCTAGTTTTGGTTCAATTTCACTCCACTCCATTTTGTCCAGCTTGTAAGGATCCCCAGCTTCCACATACACCTGCAAACATCGTGAAAACTAATTCATTTGTTTGTTCCCTCGTAATTGCGTGCTACATGTTTGCATATACTCTCCGTTCCATAATATCACACTACATTGTTGTAGATTTCTTTTCAACTTTAGAATTTAGATCAAATCAAACTAGATCAGGAACATTATCACTTCAAATTAGAACCTTTAATTATCATTTACTTATTGCTTAATACCGTTAATTGCGTATTACAAAAGATTATGAAAATTACATATTCGAAAAGTTTATAATGAAACGAATCTAACAACATCCATTTTGATAATGTTTTTCTTTATAGATTAGTATTAAAATGCGGTAAAAATTTAGTCAAATTATTAATAAAAATTTAGATCAGACCTTATGAAAATCAGACCAGATCTCCTTGTTTCAGGTGAAGAGAACAAGTCCTTATATGTATGCGTACATATATATCTTATTTGAATGTCATACCTTGTTAATTTCATCGGAATTGTCGGGCTTGTCCCAAGCCAAGAGATAGCCAAGACCAGGAAAAGACCTGTCAAAGGTACCATAAACGATTGCACACTTTGAGCCAACAATCACTTGAAGTTGTCCTTGAGAAGTAGCACCTTGGTGTACAAACGCACCATGATCTTCTCCACCGATTGTGCCAGGAGGGTTGGCTACGAATTTTCCCTTAACATCATGGGTTTTCATAAGCCTTATTGGCCGGTGTTGAGAATTCTGCATAACACCTCCTACTGCAACCAGCAGATATTGTTCATCCTTCACAGTATCGTTGTTGGCTAGGATAGTTTGTGCCTCTTGCATCGCCTTTTCGACTGCTGCTTTCTGCTTGCCATTGAATTGAGCATCCACTTGAACTGAAGTCATTCTTACCTTAGCTATATGTTCGTCAAAAAGCGTTACATATTTATTTACAAGGAACAAAAAATAAAATGAGTTAGGAAGTATAAAGCTAACATCAATATAGAGGTATAGAAACTAGGAAAAGAAAGAAAGAAAGAATACCGTAATGAGCTTAATAGTTAAAGGAAGTTTGTGCGTTTCAATGCAATATATTTTGGTGTAACCAATTTCTGTATTTATAGAAGTGTATGTGATGCATAGTCAAATGAGAAACTTAAATAAATATTATTTCTGTTTCATATTATTTACAACGATTTAATATAAAGTAGGAGAGGAAAAATATATAATCATTACAAATAATAAGAAACGGAGATAGTAGATAACGTATTGAAGTATCATATTCCAATTTCATTATTTAAGACTTTAAGTACCTCACGGAATCAAACATTTATCCAATTTCATTATTTAAGTATCCATACATTATTTAATTTAAGTACCTCGCGGAATCAAACGTGTAAGCAGTCAATATAAATATTATGGTGGGATACATCATACATTCATACATACGTGTAAGTAGGATAGAAACAAGGAAAGAAGATTAGAAGATACTCATTGTCTAGGGAATTTAAAGAAAGGAGATGCGAAAGAAGAAAGGGATACTGTGAGGGACTGAGATTTATTTATTTATTATTTACTTTTTTCATTCTATTAATATTACAACAAGGATGAAATTACGCATCTTAAATCACATTTTGTATATATGTTAAATATCTACAATCGTGTAAGAGTAAAAATATTATAAAAAATTAATATTGTCTAAGTAATTTATGAAACAAATTCAACAAGATTCCACATAACTACATTTTAACGTATTATATATATTATATGGTCAAACAAGAGTGATGAATAGTACAAAAAGTCCTTTATTGCAATATTGATATAAGGGAGGAAGTATTTATTAAGTACTTTCTTGTGGAAAATAGGAGAAAAATAGAGAGATGAATAGAGAGGATCTACCCATCCGCTTTAGTCCTCAATAACTAAAGTTCTTCTTATCACAAGTAGGGGTGTACACCGGTCCAAAACCGGACCGGACCTGGACCGGACCTGTTTGGACCGGGGACCTGAATTGGGTAATTATGAGGACCGGGGACCGGACCTGAATTAACAGGTCCGGTTCCGGGCCAGACCTGAAAAATCAGGTCCGGTCCGGGTTTGGACCTGAATGGACCTGTTTTGTGTCTTTTTCGTTTTTTTTTTTTAATACAAAATCTGTTGGACCTGCATATGGACCTGCATATGGACCTGTTTTGTGATTTTTAGACCTGTTGCATAATTTAATAATTACATACAAACCAAAATTATCAATTACAAAACTAAATAAAGTCTATAAAGTCCCGATTCTCAAACACCAAAAATACAAATGAGTCCACCGAAAATACAAATAAGTCCACGAAAACTCAGTTTCAATTTTTCAGAGTTTGGTTTTCTTCTTTTTTTTTTTTTTAATTACGATTTTCCCGGGTTTCAGGTCCGGACCTGAAAACCCCGGGTTTGGACCGGGTCCGGACCGGGACCGGGAACCTGGATTTTTAAGAACCGGGACCGGACCTGAATCAACAGGTCCGGGTCAGATCCGGTCCGGTTCAGGTCGGTTCAGGTCCGGGCCAATTTTTATACACCCCTAATCACAAGGAGCTAAAATATCTTTTGTTTCACTAGCTTATACGAAGCATATATCTTCGCAAGAAAAAAGATCCTTAAATAAATTAAATGTCAAAACCCCATTTTAGTTATTATTTAAAATGTACAGCAAGTAGCTAATAAACATTGCAATGAAACATTATTTAATTGTAATTAAAACATGCACCATGCTACACCACTTGTAAAATTGTGATTAACTAAGAGCAAGTGTTGATTGAATTAAAGTAAGTAATAATTAATTTATGCAACTTATAAGGTATTGTAGCCAACCATAAAAGAATATTGTAACTTGAAAGCGTTGGATCTTTGAACAGGGAAGAAATCAAGGGGGGCTAGGGTGGCGACGGCCACCTCCTTGACTATGTTTTACTCCTGTGTTTTCTTTTATTTGCATAATTTTGACTGGTAAATTTGATGAGACACAATTTTGATTATTAATATCTTTAATTATTAATTAGTAAAAATTATAACAAAATTATATTATAAAACTAGATATTATGAAGAATCTAATGATATATAATATAATAATATATATTTATTTTATAGAGGTGAAAAAATCAAGTCAACCATGATATGTGAATAGTGTAAAAATCAAAGTGATGCATTTAAAAAAACTGAGGGAGTAATATTAAATTCCTATACTCAGGGTCTGTTATGTTCAGCTTCATTTCAACTCAATTCAGTTCAGCTCTAACTAGTTCAGTTCAGTTAGATCAGTTTGGTTCGATTCCGTTCAGTTAAGCTCCAATCAGTTCAATTCACATCATTTCCTAATTTTCTTCTCTCATAAACAATTCATTTCAGCCCTATTCAATTCAGTTTAGCTCCAATCATTTCAGTTTAGTTTGGCCCAAATCAGTTCATTTCAGTTGTTTTCAGAAAATCAGAACATGCCCTTAATGCTAACATAATATACTTAGCCTAGTTAGTCTAGTTGAAATAAGAATCTAGTATGTGGTTGCAAGTTCAAATTTTGTTAGCTAAACTCTTAATTATTTTAAATTACTGTTGAGACAAATGAAATAAAACCAAATCGATCCTGGCTTTGGCTCCCTAATACAAAATTTGTAGTTATTACGCCAATGTCTTAGATATTTAATATGACAAGGCAAATTAAATTTTTTTTGTTTCTTACCATCAAATAAAGATGCTCTTATGTTATTCATATCATGTTAATTTAATATAAAACGAAAAAAGAGTAACAAAGTTAAGAAGATAAAATAACAAAGGAAAATGATAGTGAGGGGGTAGCTCAAGTGGTTAGAGCTCTCCTCGCGGTTCTAAGAAATTTTGGGATCGATTATCATCACCCGCCCTTATGGCTCTCTGAACACCAAAGAAAAAAATAATGAAGGAAAATAAATGTTCTTGATAATTAAGAATCAAAGCACTAGCTACGTTGTTGTCAATATATTCAAATAATATACTGGAAAAATTAAAAAGAATAATCCCACCTTTGTCATTTCTTCTCAAAACAATCTTACCTTTGAATAATTTAGAAATAATAATCCTACTTTTGCCCCCCATTTGCTAAAAAATAATCCCTTAACCGGTTTGTTAATGTGGTAACTTGTTTTAGAAGATGACTTGTCAGATGTCACTTTCTTATTGGCTTTTTTTAATAATAAAAAACAAATTAAACAACAATAATTTTTTTAATAAAAGCTATGCTTCCATCTTCCCCGATAAAAACCAGCCCTTTACTCTTGCCGGAGAGGTGCCCTATCCCTTCCCTGTCGCCACCCACCTTTATCACCGAACATACAACATCCCTTATTCATTCCTACATTGCATCCTCAATTCGCTGACCCTTCGCACCCCACCTAATCGTCAATACTAGCAATCTAACAACTACGCCAAATCATGACGAATAACCCACAATTTTACTTCACACCACCAAGTTCGTACACCCACAACTCCGCAAGCCAACAATAGACGACCACCCCCAACTGGCTCCCGCACTCGCAACACCCAATATCAAAGTTAATGTTATAGGGTTACTCGATCAGTGTTATAGGGGTTACTCATTCAGTATTACAGGGGTTACTTGATCAGTGTTATAGACGTTACTTTGTTCTTTTATAAGTGACCAAATGATGTGGCCAATCACACACCAGACGGACTACATATAAGCAACTTTTTGGTGCAGCGGGCCACACCGTGTGGCAGGGGTTACCCGAGTTATTTTGTTAGGGGTTACTCGAGTTATTCAGTTAGGGGTTACTCGAGGGGTTCACTCGGTCAAGGTTTATTTGAGGGGTTATTCGGTCAGGGATTACTTAAGTTACTTGGTGTAGGTTTACTCGAGTTAATCGATTAGGGGTTACTCGGTCGTAGCAATACTAGAAATAGGGCCATTTCCGATGGAATTATTCCGACAGACACCTAATTCCGTCGGAAAGTGCATATTTTACGACGGATTTTGTTTTCGTCTGAGATTTCCGACGGATTTTAAAATTCCGTCGGAAAATATCGAAGTCTAATTAAAAAAAAACAAAAAAAACCCCTAAAACACCCCCACTTCGTTTTAAACGTTCCGCCCCCTTATCTTTACCCTACTCCTCCTTTTCATTCTCTCTCTTCTCCTCATCTTCTTCTCTTTCTCTCTTCTCTCATCCTCTTCTCCTCGTCTTCTCTTTCTCCTCTCATCCTTTCTTCTCAGTCCTCTCTTCTCGCTTCGTCCTCCTCTTCTCTAATCAAATTCATGGTTTTAAGGAGCAAAATCATGGTATTAAGGTCAAGTTCGATCATGAAAATGCTAGTCTAGCATTTTAATAGTCGAACTTGACCTTATATACCCAAATTCAAGACTAAATTTGGTTGATTGCGGTTGAATTGTTGTGGTAAGTGTAGTAGATCTACAAAGTTTTTATCTTTTGTTTTTGGTTTTTAGTTTTTTTTGTTCTGAATTTTATCTAATTTTTTCAGTTTTTTTTTCGGGTTAATGGGTAAGTTAGGGTGGTGGGTGATTTTGGGTGTGAGTGAATTTGGGCATTTTTTGGATTGCGCTACGGCAGGTTCGGTTAGGGTAGTGGTCTAGGTGGGTCGTGGTCTGGGTGGCTAGATAGGTTAGGGTGGTGGTTTGGGTGGGTGTATCGTGTCTGGGTGGCTGAAGGGAGGGAAGTGGTGGTGGGTAGATCAGGGTTTTGGATGGAGGGAAGGATTTTTTTTTGTTGCGGTGTAGTGGTTTGGCGGTGGGGGCTGGTGGCCGTGGTGGGTAGTGTAGTGGAGGTGGTGATCTGTTTGGGGTTGGGGGTGGTAATACGCCACGCCGGTGGTGGTGCGGCGTATTTTTTTAGTTTGGTTGAAACGACTTTCGACGGAATTCCCGTCGGAAATTTCCGATCGAATTTACTATTCCGTCGGAAATTTTCGACGGACTATTCTGGTGCCGGAAATTATCCAACGTCGGAAAATTTTGTCGGAAATCCCGTCGAAAAAGTGTTTCCGACGAAAAATGTGGTTTTTCCTACCAGCCGTTTTCGACAACCTATTCCAACGGATTTTAGGGTGTTTTCGACGAAAATTTTTCGTCGGAAATGGACCTATTTCTAGTAGTGTAGGTTACTTGAGTTACTCACTCATGGATTACTCAAGTAATTCGGTTAGGGGCTACTTAAGAAGTTCGATCATGGGTTACTTGAGGGGTTACTCGGTAAGGGGTTACTCGAGTGATTCGGTCATGGATTACTCGAGGGGTTACTCGGTCAGGAGTAACTCAAGTAACCCCTGACCGAGTAACTTGAGTAACCCCAGAAACTCGAGTAATCCTTGCCGCACAATACAACAGGACGCATACAAAAATTTATGTTATAACAAATCAAATTACTCCGCCCATCTCAGAATAATTGACACGCTGGGCTTTCTTTTCACTATCCATAACTTTGACTTTTTAATTTTTCACTATTTATAAAATATATTGTAAGATAGGTATTAATATAACGTTTCGTGAGGCTATATGAAGTCCTAAACTCCCAACATAAAAAACCTCTTCTCTCTCCTCCTTCCTCACTCCAAAACCCTAGCCTCCACTATTGAAATTTAAAGGGGCTTTCATCGGTTTTAACAGGTGGAAAGCCCATAACCAGTTTCTTTTAAGTTTTATAATAATGCTTCCTCCTTTTGGGAGGAACTTTTCTCCCTTGAAAGAAAGGGTTTCCGATCTCCTTCGAAAGACAAGGGTTTTTTATTTGCCCCCTTCTAAAGACAAATTATCTCCTCTTTTCGGGAGAGAAATTTCTTAGTTTTGAATCCATTATATTAGATCTAATGGATTGTCGTGAAATTATTTCGGTGGTGAACAAGTTATCAAGTTTTCGAATGTAGACAGATGAATCAGAAGAAAAATATCCTCTCGGCTACAAACGATCGTTAGATTATCTCTCCAACAAGACTGTATTTTCCAGCGATATACGCGGGAGATGTTCCATAATACAAGATCTACTCGACAATTGTAGTTTTTATGAAGGAAAATTTTATTTGATTCAATATCACTACTAGAAAACGGCCAAATTACGACGGACTGGTTCCGACAGACACATTATTCCGTCGGAAAAAATCGAAATTTCCGACGAATTTTAATTCTGTCGGAAATTTCAGATGAATTCTACAAATCCGTCGAAAATTTCCTACGGAAAAAAAATCAGTCGGAATATATGTGGTTTCCGACGGATATTTTTGTCAGAAATTACTGTTTCCGACGGATTTATAGTCCGTCAGAAATATTTGACAGAATTTTCTGTCGGAAAATAAATTTTTAAAAAATAAACTTCTAGAAATCCTAACACCCATACTTTATTTCTGCCTCTTCTCCCTTTGTCCTTCTCTTCGTCTTTCCTCTTCTCTCTCCTCTCCTTCTCTCGTGTTCTCCTTCCTCTTCTCTCTCATTCTCCTGCTCATTCTATCTCTCTCGTTCTTCTACTTCTTTCCTCTCCTCTCCTCTTCTTTCTATCTTGTTCTCCTACTCCTCTCTCTCATTTTTCTTCTCTATATGTCCTTTACGTTCCCCTTTTTCGCCCACCATCGCCACCGACATCAACAACAACACTAGCAACACCGTCATCAACAACACCCTCATCGACATCAACATCAATAACAATTTTCATCTTTTTTCGCCCTTTCTCCCTTTTCTCATGTTGAAAACAAAGGTTTTCAGGTCAAATTCAACCATGAAAACTCTAGATCTAGAGTTTTTATGGTTGAATTTGACCACTTAAACCAAATTTGAGGTTATGTGTGGTCGAATCAAGGTATGTATCTTTTTTTTTTTTCAATTTTTTGATTTTATTTTGTTGTTTTATTGGATTTTTTTTTTACAATTTATGGTGGTGGAAGGAAGTTGATGTTGGAGTTCGGGTTTTGTGGGTAGAGGTTAAGGTTTTTAATTTTTTTCTTTAATTTTTTGGTAATTTTTGGTGGTGATGGTGGTTTTCGGTGGCCACAGTGGTGGTTTTAGGTGGGTGGTGGGGTGCTACCGAATTGTAAGGGTTAGGGTTGTAGATCTGGGTTTGGTTTGGGTGGGCTTGGGTTAGGTGGGGAGTCTGATCTTTTAGGGTTCTGGTGGAGGTTTCGGTAATTAGGATGTGGGTGGTGGTACAGGTTAGGTGGACTGGTGCTGTGCGGTGGTGGGGTAGTGGGTGGTGGTACGATGCTGTGCGGTGGTAGCTTGTGTGGGGATGGTGCTGTGCGGTGGTGGCTGGTTGTGGCGGTAGGCCTTTTTTTTTTTAGCATTTTCCGACGGAATACAATTCGTCGGAAATTTTCGACGGATGGACTTTCCCAGGCCCGAAAACCTCTTCAGACGGACTGATTTCCGTCGGAAAAGTGCGTTTTCCAACAATCAATATTGCGACAACCAGTTCCGACAAAATTTCCATCAGAAACTGGTTTTTTCCGACAGAAAACGGGGTGTTTCCGACAGAAAATTTCCGTTGTAATTTGGCTGTTTTCTAGTAGTGTATCTTATGTATTTGTTAACGTCAAATCTATATTGTATGACTTTTAATTAATGAAATATTTTTGCTATTCAAAAAAAAAAAAAAAAAATCGTGGTATAATTTTTTGTTATAATTTTCATTACTATCTACCTATGTAAAATTAAGGGGGAACTAGTCTACCGACATGTGTGCAATGTTTGACTGTTTCAATTATTCTGGGATAGAGGGACTATTAAAATAATGTACGAGTATAAAATTTATGTCACTCTGTTAATGAAATTCAAGTAAATGTACACTCTATTGTGCCAATGTGTTTCATTTTTTTAATACTTCTTTATTTTTTTTCGGGAAATTCCAAAAATGTTTCTCATGGGGGTATTTTCGTGAATAAATCAACAACTTTTTCATTATTGTGGCTTCACAATTGAATAAAGTTGATAATGAAAAAGTTGAATAAAGTTGGTGGTTTATTTACGAAAATCGCATGTGAGAAACAAATTTTGTTTCTTACTATGAGAAATTGGGGCATCCCCATTTTTTCATCCCATTCTTCATAGCTTAGGTTTTGGTACAGGAATGATGGAAGTGCAATAATACAGAAATGATAGAGAGGAATTGAACTACCAATAAGTGCATAGATAATATATAATAGCATAGATTTTATGAGTTAGCGTTACAAAACCATGGGGCATTATTTATTCATAAGCATAAAACAAAACATGATAATATAAAGTTGCATAATTAAAATCTTAAGTACCTCTAATATAGATTATAACGCATTTGGCCTGGCTAACTTGTTATAGTTAAGCCTTGGGCTCGAAACGATCGAAACTGGCAGCAACCAGAGACCGCATGTTGGTGTTATGGGTGTGCTTGATCTCAGCAGTGGCTATAGCGCCTATCTCGTGGTCGATAGAGGTGCTTTTGTTGCCGGAAGCATTTAGCCTTCGTTCGATTTCACTCCACTCCATCTTCTCGAGCTTGTAAGGATCTCCAGCTAACACAAACACCTTCAAACATTGCTAATATTAATTCATATTTTTTTTGTTCCTTCATTCAACTCATTCATGTTTGTATTGCGTGTTATTAGTCTTATTACGGTGTATATATATGCATATTATCTCCGTTCCATGTACTAAATTGTTGGTTTATATGTGTTCGTACACATATTTCTTATTTGAATGTTTTCTTATAAATTAAGGAATTTTCTAACCTGTGTCCATGGGCTGATTACATGTATGTTTTAAAGCATGTATATTTATATAATTATTCTATCAAATCGGTCCAATGATAATGTTTCCACAATCAATTAATTTAAAAATGAGGAAGTTTATAAATTATCCTTTAGGATTCGCTATTTTCAAAAATTTGAACTTTTTCTCTGGGTTTTTTAGTAAATTTTAGAGTGTTGATTGTTTTTTGTAACTTAACATGTGTCTATGGGCACACGTTAGAAAATTGTTATTAAAATTTAGTGTGTCTATTGTTATAAATTTGTAACTTAACATGTCCCAAACCTTAAGCTCACTGCCAAGGCTTAAATTTGTAACTTAACATGTCCCAAGCCTTAAGCTCACTTAAAATTTAGTGTGTCTATTGTAATAAATTTGAACTTTTTCTCTGGGTTTTTTAGAAAAAAATTGTAACTTAACATGTGTCTATTACTTACCTTAAGCTCACTGCCAAGGCTTATTTCGGGCATGTCCCAAGCCAAAAGATACCCAAGAGCAGGGAAAGACTTGTCAAAGGTACCATATATGAGTGCACACTTTGAGCCTACAACCACAGGAAGTTGTCCTTGCGAGGTAGCGCCTTCGTGCACAAACGCACCGGATGCTTCTCCGCCGATGGTCCCTGGAGGGTTTGTGACAAATTTTCCCTTAGCATCATGGGTTTTCATTAGCCTTATTGGCCGGTGTTGAGAATTCTTCATAGCGCCTGCTACTTTAACCAGCAGATGTGGCTGCGCGTCCTTCGCACTGTCGTTGTTGGCTAGGATGTTTTGTGCCTCCTGCGTCGCCTTTTCGATTGCAGCCTTCTGCTTGTCATTGAATTGGCTATCCACTTGAATTGAGGCCATTCTTAGTTTCTTACCTTTGCTTGGCTAATTTCATTTCATGCATTCATAAGTGTTACATTTTAATTAACAAGAAAAAAAAATAGAAACTCAACCGATCCACAATAATATAATATAAAATACAGTAGTGCGTAAAAATATACCTATTAAGAGGGAAGAAAGTATATATACATACCTTAATCAAATAGAGTAGCTGAAAGAAGTTTATGCTTTGCAATGCAATAAACTTGTTGTCACCAGCGTGTATATATAGAGGGATTATAATGCATGCATAATTTTTAAAGTTTTATTTATTATTTTTACGAGAATAATTGGATAAGTATCAAAGTATTGCATGCATTATTAAAGCTAACACTACTTTAGACAAATTATATAAGATACTCGTATATAGGATATAGGAATCAGAATAATCTAAAAGCATGCAAATGGCACAAATAAATAATAATATTTTGAATAAATTGTACCACGTGTATACATATATTAATTATTCAAATTTACACATAATATTTTTTTTTTTTTTCTCCATTATACTTCCAACTTCCATGTCTTGTTTGTACGCCAGGCCAACAACTCTAATGTACTCATCTACAATGCATATGCTCATTAAAACAACAAAGTGTCTACAAGTACATAGTTAGAAGAGCAAAAACCAATCAGGACGGAAAAAAAAGGGACCAAACAGGGTTGAACCGAATCAAAGAAAAAACCAGTCCAATCTGAAGGGTAGAAAAGTATGACTTTTTAGTATTTAGTTGTGAACATCTAATTCAAGACTAATGCAAATAGTGTGCATGTATATTTAATTGCATGGTATCACGGTGAAGTGGTGAATATTTTATTTCTAGAACTACATTAACCATGTGCAATGCACGGTTTTAAAATAAGAACTAGTGTGTGGGCAGTGTCCCGAGCGATGTTCCGGGTTATTTTTTAAAAAACTTGTAATTGAATAGATATGTTCATTCTTTATTATTTATTTATTCATTATTTGTATATAATTTATAATAGTTTCTCATTAAACCTTTGAATAAATTATTTATGGAACAACTATTGACTAATTATATAAACATGTTCTTGTAAAAAAAATTATACTCCGTATAGACATATTTTTTGTATAAAATTTATAATATAATGAAATAAAGACATAATTATTATCAAAATAATTAAATAACTAAAATTTATAACAATAGTTAATTTTTCTTGCTTGTATGTATTATCTCGATGATCACAATTAGCAAATAATAGGATTAAATTTTTTATTTTTTTTTAAGAATTGCAGTTATTAAATGTTGAGATCTCCATCCAATCCATATAATTATATATTTCTGAGTCGAGTATTAATTTATGATTAATATATGGATGAGATGGTAAGACATCTAATGCATATTTTTGTGGTTGTGAGTTCGAATCTCATGATTGACATTTTTATTAGAATACACTCATAGTTGAAAGATGACATGGCGAGGGTGCCACATGGCACATAAACGTTTTTAGGAACGCCTTTTAATATATAAATAATAGTTTTTGGGCTCGGGCGATGCTCTGCATTATTACATGGAACTCATCATAATATATGTTGTAATTTATGATTTAATTTTCTTCTAATTAAATTTGTTGTTCATATTGTCATTTGTTATATATTAATATTTTGTATTCAAAAGATCACATAAAAAATCACATAGCTTGGTGGTAAGACAATTAGTTCTAGAATTAGAGGTTGTGAGTTCAAATCTTGTGGTGAATTATTTTTATTTTTTTTATTATTATAAGTGTATGATATTCATTTTAATTAAGAAATTTCAATTAAATTATATTATTAACAATTGTTAACAACTCGTGAACAACTAAATAGCATAATATGTGTAGAAAACCCAAAATTTAAAATTTAAAAATTCAAATGGAATATATTTCAAAATTATGTTAAATAGAGTAGCTTAAAAAGGAAAAAAAATTTGACAACATCCTTGCATTTTGGAAGGAAAAAATTAAATAAAAAGTGACACGTAAACAATGATGACATCATCGATTGTTATTTTAATATATATTTTTTAAAAATGTTAAAAAATAATTCCTAGAAGATAAAAATATATTTAAAATAATGAAAAAAATATTTTTAATTAAAATTACTGATTAAAAATAAATCAAAATATAAATAATATTAGTCGTCCATTTTAAAAAATTGTGGTAGTCAAAAGTCATAAGCCTACATTAGAATTAAAGTAGAAAGATCATTATAAAACAGACTGAGTATTGAATAAGATTAAGGGGTCGTTTGGTTCGCACGGAGTAATCGGAATGGAATGAACAAAGGGAAAGGAGAAGAATGGAATGAAAATACCTAAAACTTGTCATGTTGTTTGTTTTAAAAACAAAGGGAAACAATCTCACTACTCCCACCACCACACAACCACCACACAACCACCAAAGTCATTAGCTTTCCACATATTTCAGCCACCAAACCAGTCACCGCGCCTCCTCCACCGTTCGTCGCCATCCGCCAGCCCTCCCCCGTCCCTCGTCGACCCAACATATGTCAACCCTCCCCCGTCCTCCTTAGCCTAGAAAACCCTAGATTCTAATATCACTACTCACTCCCCGTGAAACCCGTTGGCCGACCCACCCCCACCCTCGAAACCCTAGAGCCTAGAGTTTTGATGTTAGGGGAGGGCCGGTCGGCCGTTTAACGGTGAAGGAGATGTTTATTTTAGGTTTTTTGATGGTGGGTTTCGACAGTGAGGAAGACCGACGAGGGGAGGAGAGGGTAGTTGCGGCGAGGGGTGGGGTAGGTGCGGTGAGGGGTGGGGATGGGGCGGCAAAGGTCGTGGTGGAAATCGGGGAAGGTCGTGGAAATTGGGGTAGAGGAAGGTCAGGGAAGCGGCGGCGAAGGTCGGGGAAGGGGCGGCGCATGTCGGTGGATCCGTGGAGGTGCGACTGGGTGGTGGAGGTAAGGTATAAGGGTGGTGGTTAATGTAGGTGTGGTGGTGGAGGGGTGGCTAGGGAAAGGGAATGGAAAAGTCTAGGGGGGTGGGGAATGGAGTTGGAAGGATTTGGGCTAATGGAGGGGGGGCATGGGAATGAAAAAAAGCGCATAACAAACAACAACAAATGCCAGTTGATTCCCATTCTCTTTGTTGATTACCCCCAACCAAATGGCCCCTAAGTAATATGTGTTAACGCCTAAAAAGATAATGGATAACAACAATAGCAACAAAAAGTATATACGAGTATAAATTAAAAAGGAATATTTCATAAAAAAGAAAATAATCTAATATATATAAATAAAGTAGGCATTTTTCGGGAGCATATGGCGCGCCACATAAAAAAAGGTATCATTTTGTCCAATGAAAAATTAGATTAATATTTAGAATTAAAAAATTTACTCGCCACCTAAGCAAAAGTGACGAATGAGATTTAAGAATTTTGACACATAAGTAAAAACAACCAATTATTATCTTCTCTAAAATAAATTAAAAAAAAGTAATAATTATCTTTTTTACATAAATGGATGCAAATTTTTAATCGCTAATATCTTTAATCTCTCCCTAGAAAATATGGTAAAAGTTTGATTTTAATAATGTACTCATTGAGACGGCAAATTTTTAATCGCTAATATCTTTAATCTCTCCCTAGAAAATATGGTAAAAGTTTGATTTTAATAATGTACTCATTGAGACGAATTAAACTAAATTTCATATGACTAATTTCCCATAATATTTTATAGTGAAACAATTATAAATGAGACTAACATTTTGAACCAAACGAGTATATTAAATAAATGCATAGGCAAAAGACTTATTTTGATCAATAAAAAAACGAGATTTGTCATTTCTTTTTTGAATTAAAAATTTAAATTGTCACATAAGCAAAATTAGTGAATAAGGTTTGAGATTTTAAATTTAAGCGTCACATAAAATAAATAAATAAAACAATAAAAGATAACTTTAGTGTTAAAATTTAAAAATTATCTTATGATATTAGGAATTTTATTTATATATTTAATGAATGATCTTTCTAAATATACGCAATTTTAAATTAAATAAAATGATTACTAGAACCGTGCATCGCACGAGCTTACATCTAGTATATAATTATGAAGGGAAAAATGTTCTTGATAAGAAGCATTGCTTTTATTTCCAAAAAAAAAAAAAAAAAAAAAAAAGGGCATTGCTTGCTTACATCTTTGTCAAAATATTCACATTCTCCCTCACATTATGGGCAAGAAAAATTATTTTTCACAATTTTTATTTTATTTTTTTATAGTCACAAATATTTATTTAATGGTCAAAGATAATATATTCTTGCTTTCACTTGTGCGCACCATGCATGAGGGACCAACGCTAAGTAGTTCTCACTTAGTCACTTAATTGAAGAACCAACCAAGCAATTCACAATATCAATTTTTAATACATTATTTTGGAGAAGACTTCCATTGTGTTTGTGTGCCACGCCAAGCCACCATATTCTTTGTTTGAATTTATGGATTGCAGTTTATTTAGTGATCATGCTTGTATTGGGTTTACATGTATTAAAAACTTTAGAAAAAAAAAAAAAATTGATGTTAGAAGGAACAACATTAGTCGATTATGTTTTTAGTTGAAATAATACCAACTACAGGTCTACAGCCAACAATAACGTTGTTCTAGGGCGTGTTCGGCAAAATATAGCTGTGAAGGTAGCTGTAGCTGTAGAGGTAGCTGTTAGCTGTGTAGATAACTGCTAGCTGTCAACAAAATGTTAGTTGTGAAAATAAATAATTTAGATATGAGTGTTTGGTAAAATAGCGGTTGACTAGCTGTTACATATAAAAATCAATATTTTATTTTTAAAATTATAGATTAAATTTTCAACAGCTACCTCAAAAGCTACCTCTAATTTTAAAAGCTAATTTATCTAACTTTTCATAAAAGCTACCTCCACCACTAAAAGCTATCCTAACCACTATTTTGTCAAACACTCACATTTTTTGTTAAGTAGTGGTTTGACTTGGTCAAACCACTAAAAGCTACTCAAAAGCTAGCGCCGAACACGCCCTAGTCAAGTACCAATCAGATCAATTCGGTTTAGATTGTTTGGGTGATTTCGAAATTGGGTCAATTCAAATAGAGTCAAGGCAGGTCATGTTTGATTATATTATCAATAAGCTACTCCGTTTGACATAATTTAACTTAAATACCCTTAAATTGCTGGTTTCAAAAAAAAAAAAAAAAATATTGTATATTTTTCCTCCATGACTTCATTTAGTACTCCGTAGCATGTTTTAAACACAGGCTGTCACAAATTTTGTCATAATTCCTCCTTTTAATTTTAGTTGCAAAGTCTTGCAACAGTCCGACAGAAAGGCTCGCTTTTAGTCAAAGCGTTGCAACTTGCAAGTAAGTAAAACTGAAAGGAGTAAAAGTACATTGTCTCATTATCTCACCCTACAATTAAAATCTAGATGCTGAAATAGTGTAAATTCCAAAAGTATTGACCTAGTTACAGTATTCATTACAGATTTCTGGCAAGGATCCTGTCATATATTTTCAAGAGCCTTGCAAATATTCAGGTCCAACATAAACATGTTCAACAGATTGATACATAATAATATCACTTAGCTGGCATCACTTCAGTGTGATTTTGGCCATTAAGGAACATTTGGGAAGTGAGGACCCAAGATAAGTTACGACTCCTAAAAACAGGAACATTAACAAGTGCGTCAAGAACCTCCCTTCAAAGATACACTTCCTGTATACAAAAATCCCGTCTTAATTTATCCCCTCAGCCATGTGTTTCGGTATGAAGAGTTGTCACGTAGAGAAGCATCGTGAGGCTTGTATTCCATCACATAGCTGTGGGGAAGCTTCAAATGACGTTTTATAGCATCTCTCAATCCCATCACAGCCTACAACCCACGTAAAATTTGAGAGTTAGAAACAGATTAACACATAAGATTATAAAAACTTTTATCTTAAGTTTGGTGGTGATAATTTTAAAATGCGAACCTGATGGTCGGATGCATTCCTATTCCAAACACTCAATATGTCCTCACTAAACCTTATGCTGAGTACAGCACCACAGATATTATCACCATAGTCAAGCTGGTCACCTACCAAGGCTAAAACCTGGAATATAAACAAGCAAAACCAGATTTAAAGTTTAAACAATGTGCAAGCCTATTGATCAATAGAAGAAGAAGAAGAAGAATAAACATTAGGCCAGCAAATTGACTCATCCTGAGAGAGAGAGAGAGAGATTGGGCGAGTTTTTCAGTGATACTTCCAAGAGTTCCAACAGAATAACAATAAACAGATAATTGATTCCATCTGGCAATAATAGTCACATATATCAATTTGGAATGCTAATGGGGTAAAAAAAAAATAAAAATTGAATACAAGAATTCTAGGAAAGTCGGCAACTTAACATAATAAATACTCAAGGATGGAATTCCCAAAATGCATCTACTTTATTGAGTGATGGGGGAAATTAGAATCTCTATTAATATCTTTACTAATATATTAAAAGGCGTTTATAAAAACGTCCATATACCACGTAAATACTTTTATAATACGCCACGTCACTTCACAAATACTTCATGATGCCACATCACCTACCCAACATCTCTTTATGCCACATCATCACCCAAGCAATCCACATTACTTCATACTTGTATATAAAAATATAATGTTAAGGGGATTTGAACCCCCAACCACTTATAACAAAGGTGGCTTATTAACCATCTTGTCAAGAATATATACATAAGTATAAACCACATGATTTAATTATTAAAAAAAACACATTTTATAATATACAAAGTATATCGATTTTATATTTCAAAATCCTTAAAAAAAATGCCCCAGTAGCACCATTATAAAAGTAGCAACCCTGACCGCCCGGGCTACTCACTAGTTTTATAATAATATAGCAACAGCAAGCGACACTTGGGAGTATTCTGTAGAGGCTTTTTTCCTCAAAAATTAAATGCCAGTTCAAAAAAAATGGTATTCTTTTGACAAAAAAATCTTACTCTTCCTTAATTCACAATTCATGGTTAAAGCTTTTAGTAAAAATTAATAAATTATGATAAATTCCCCTAAAAAAAAAAAAAGATAAATCCTACAATAAAAGTTGTCAAGACAAAGTCACATAGTTGCAATCATCTGTCAAAAAAAAAAAAGTGTTGCAATCTGCTTGTTTCATAGAGCAAGATGATCGATTTCATCCTTCCCCATACAATTTCTACATAGGTACCAAGAATGTCTAGAACAACGCCCACAACATTCAATCAATAGACAATTCAAACAGCTCAACAAGGATATCAAAAGATCAGATAATTAAGAAAGATTTACAACAACTACAACTACAAATTTGAAACACTGACCAGGTCTTCCCAGAAGCGCCCTGAAACAGCCTTCTTGAATCGGATGATCCACTTCCCACCATTGCAATTAGCAGAATCCTAATAAAGTATAACCACAATTGTTAAAAGAAAAGAAAGCGCCAATTATACATCAAAATGAGAGACCACAGAAAACGTCAGAAAGCATTATCATGCTCAAGAAAAATGCATTCAAAATCTAGCATCGAGAATTTACCTCCCATAGTGGGCGAATTCCATCTTTGAAAAGATGCAAATCAGTTGGGCTTGGTAATGTAGAAGGACGGGCAAAATGACAATAGCAGACCCAGAATCCTTCAACCTATATATACCCAAAAGAATCAAGAAGCAATATCAAAATAATGACTGAAGGAATAATCAGCATTAATGAATTCATAAGCAATCTTACAGTGCTAAAGTCCACAAGTCTCTTTATGCTCTCTTCATAAGGTGTTTGTGTACGCACACCAGGAGTTCGACGAGTATACCAAAATACAAACTTGTGCTGTTTGCAATGATCAGCAAAATGTTAGAGATGACTGTATGCACAATAATCATATTATGTAAAGCAGAAGCATTCTTGTAATTTAGGAGAAATTTTTCTTTAATGACAGCGCACAGGACATTCGCCATTTTTTATTATTACTTTTGTGAATTCAACTGGAAATATGAAAGGTAAACACTTACTCAGGTTCAAAAGTGAACACTTGTGCAACAAGGAGTTGGTCATCTAGTAGAAAGACAAATCATCTAACCTATTAAATACTAGTTCATAATTTGATGCACTTCGAGAGCAACCTTATGGCCTTAACACTTAGGCCATGCTTGAATTCAGGGTGATAAATTAAGGGGGTAATAAAAGTCAAACAAGGAAAAACATAAGTGATTAGAGATGTTATTGTAGGGAGATAAGGTGTTTCTAAATGAAATAAAGTATTTGTGACATAAGGAAATGAGAGAGGTGGAGGATCATTACCCTCATGATGAGGGTAATAGACTAATAGTTACCCACCTCCTCCTAGTGCAACTATTACCCCCAAAATGAGGGTAATAGTTTCCCTTTCTTCACCTATCACTACATCACCATTACACAAAACTCCTTGCAATCACACCATCCCTATCTCCTAGTTTAGATGAATTTCATAACCCTAGCAATACATTACTATCAATCCAAGCATACCCTTATTAAAGAATTGATTATACTATTCAAATAAAACTACAATAACAACAAAGCTTTAGTCCCAAAATGATTTGGGGTCGGCTAACATGAATCGTCATAAGGAATTGTACGATATATAGAAACGGACATAACAAGACCATCATTTAAAAGAGTTTGAAAAAAGGTGAGTAAAGTGAGTAAATGAAAGAGCATTTAAGAAATTAAGGGAGTTTTGAAAGGAAATCAAGAATAAAAATTAAGAAAGTTGAAAACATAAGGTCTGGCTGTCTGAGAAAACTGTAGCAAAGGAAAACAATTCGGCTCATAAAACTAATTACTTAATTAAGATAGCTGACATCATAACAAAATCTTGTTAAAACACATGCTCTTCTGCGTATACATCAACCTTATATTAAATACTATAGCAATTAACACTAGACCTGACTGATCCAAACCCAAAGTTCACTTTCCAATCATGTTATCACAAATCAATTTTATTAGGATCAGTTTCAAATAAGCTCTGTATGCAGCATAATTTTCAAACTAAGATCTGTGAGTTCAACAAAAACCCTAACTTTTATTCAACAACTGAACCCAATATTAAGTCAACTCTTAGTAAAACAAAATATTTATTGAATCCGAAAGCCATGTTCATTATACTCAACCAATTAAGCAAGAACTTCAGTGGAACCTATATTAAAAAAAAATCATGCAAATGTGCCTTTAACACTCAATTTACATCAGCCAAATTAATTTTTCTCCAAAGAAGTTAACTAATCTTGTAGATCTCTCACAAACAATCACCCTCAATGCAAAACTCAAAACACAAACCAAATTACTTTGGTGATTAACTTGTCATAGAGAGTATCTCAAAGTTCAAATCAACAATGTGATGTCCAATACAACCACTTATAGTTATGAAGGAAGACCAAGCAAAAAGGAAAGACATTAAAACATATATTCTTCATTTCAAGCTCTACCATATTGAGTCATTCTCATTAATATACACAACATATATCTCTTTAGCTACCCTCAAAGTTACATGCATTCCCCACTTAATACATTACTCCCATAGCCTAAGCATGCAAATGAATACTGTTGATGCAGTGCACGAGGAACAAACACTCCCCAAAGCTCAAGGCGCTCTAGGGCAACAGGAAGTCAGAAATCCAGCTGCACCTAGGCATGCCCTGTGCGCCTCATAAAAGTGAGCAAACTACCCCAAAAAAAAAAAAAATAAATAAATAAAAAAAAATATTTAAATGAACTTTTCTAGCTAAAAAAAAAAAAAAAAGAAAAAAAAGCTGAACCCCATTTTCCTAGCTCCTACGTGCGCCTTAGGCAAGCTTTCCTATACACTGGTAGGTCAACAAAAAGCTAACAAAACTTCTGCTACACAATTGATTAATCTGCTTATTCCTACCCGTCTATCAAAGCGACCAAAACAATTTTTTAATACCCAGTTAGACCCAGCAATACCCCCAAAATACCCCAAATGCCAATTAAAAATTTAAAAGAGCAACTAAAGTTAGAAAAATTAGATGTGTTAATTTGATTTTGTCCCTAGCCTTCCCTTTTGCAAACAGTTGGTGTCTTAATAAATCATAACCTTATTACTTATCCACCAAATAAGAATTGTGTGTCCTCCATATCACTAAACTGGGCATGAATTCACAAGTTTCTCTTTATATATAAAGTTGATAACGCTAGTCTATAACATGAAGCTTGTTCCATTGTGCTTTCACTAAGTAGCATCATGTCTATAACATCTTGTCAAAAGAATAAACTTCATCGCAAACAAACAAAACGGTGAGGATGAGATGGTGTGTAAAGTTGTAAACTAATAGTATATGATTTCCTAAGGATGCTGAAAGATGACCTTAGTACGGCTTCTCACTCGCTCACTGAAACCCCCACCCCTGATCCCAAAAATCTATTGTTCAAAGGGATTAGTCGCCCCCATAGATCTACTAAGCTAGAAAATAATAGCTCCTATAACATCATGGGATAAATATGAAAACTTGATTCATAAAATCACAAGGAAAAGACCTAAATTTTACATCAAGGTCCACAGATATCCATTACTGTATCAAAGGCTTGACGAAAAGTTTGAGTTGGCAAAGAAAAAGAGATACCCAATACCCCTTCAAACCAGAAGATGTGTAAACAATGAACTTCAAAAACAGGCCTCATTACACTTTAATATTCATTTATCACAGCAGCACTCATCCCCGAGACAGCAAATTTTCATTACAACAGAGCTGCATTGTATTACTACCAGTATAATTGACTCATTTAGCCAACATATCCCTTAATAAAAAAAAAAAAAAAAAAACATATAATGTTGATTAATTATCCAACTGAAACCCAGGTACAAGCCATTCATATTTGCTAAAAACCACACCCCCATACATTAAACATGTTCAAAACCAAAATAAATTACAATAAATTCAATTATAAAAAAAAATATTGCAGAAAAAAGCTAAATTGCAACAAATTAATTCGAAAAACTGTACCTTTAAACTCAAGTTTAATTAAAATTGCCAAATATAAAATTATGAATTCAATTGACCATCAAACTAATCATACTCGTATCATCAAATTCACTATTTTATCATACAATTTCAATAAATTGACAATCACATTAAATTAGTTCCTGAAAATCGCGACGAATTGCAAAAAAAGGGGGAAAAGGAGGAGAGAGAAAGTACCCTAAGGGGGTGAAGGCCGGCTTTAAGGTCGCGGGCTTGACGTTCACGATCTTCGGCTTCTCGATCGAGCAGAGAATTATCAGCAACACCTTGATTGTTAATGGCGTTGTTCTTCTCAACCATGTCCATTTTTGAATGAATTGAAATTTGCCCTCTTTTTTTGTTTCAAACCCTAACCTCAATTGTTTGATGGTTTGATTTTGGCACAACTTTAATAACGTTTTGGAACGTGTTAGTGAACACGGACTGTTATTCTTAATTTCTCAGTTCTCACACTCCAAATTAAAGGTGTCAATATAAAGTACTACTATTAAGAAGGGGTTTCTTGAGATTAAGGGTAAGTTTATCCCAACACTGAGATTTATACTTCATACTCTGTCACGTCAGATTTCCACTTACTTTTAATTACTTTTTTATTATTCAGGCTCATACAAGACTTTCTTCAATTTTACAAATTATTCCAAGACTCACTTCAGATTTACTTATCCAATTAATATTTATAACATTAATTTATTTATATATTTATTAATTATTTTAGTATGGTGAGTTGGCAACTCACTATTGGACAACATAATTATTTTTGTCCATTTGTATAGTCTCAATCCAAAACTCATCTCAAGACTATATGTAGTCTTGGTAGAGATTATTGCTAGAATCTTACTCAAGACTTGTCTAAAGACTCACCTTAAGACTAGGGATTAACTTACCCTAAATAACTCTATTTTTATGTTGATTTATGCTAGATCCATGTGTTCGCATAGATTAAAATTTAAATCGGATTTTTTTTATTAGATTAGTCGTTCGGGTTAATTTCTAACACGTCTAACGGGACATCACTTCAAGACTTGTTGGTATAATTTTTTTGTTTTTTGATTTTTGTTTTTCAATATAAAAAAAAATCATATTATTATATCCTTTATTTTATTTGGAAAAAATCACTTTAATGATATCAACTTTGACCGATTTACTCTGAACAATACCAATTTTGGATTATTTTCTAATAATCCCATCTTTGATATTAGTTTGCCTCAGCAGACCCATCTGGTCAAAATGTGGTCAACAACCTGTCATTACATATTACCAAGACATGTGTCAACGCGTGATTGATAAAAAAAAAAAAGGAGAAAAAAAAAAACTTAACAATTTTTTTTTTAAAATGGCAACTACCCTTCCCCAACGCGAGCCACCCCCTGCTACCCACTCTTAGCCTACCCCTCTTGCCCCCAGTGCTGGTGCCACCTAGACCCCCTCCCCTTTCCCCACTAACCACAGCACCCCTCCTCGTAACCCCTTCCCCTCCCCTCAAAAAACCCCTTAAAACTATGTAGACACAAAAATTTTATGAGTGTCATACATTAAATTAAATAAATTAATTTGGGTTAAAATCATATGAATGATCCATTTTAATTAATTTTGGCCCACCTAAATAAATAATCTGAATTAATTAAATAAAATTCGGGTTATAAAATAAATTAAACGGACCAGGTTAAAAGACTTTTAAGTCATAAAATGGGCCAGGCCCAGACCTACTAAGTCCACTCAAGGGGTTCTCATCTCCTATAAATACACCATTCCTCCATCAGTTGAGGGGATGCAGAAATCATTATTCCAAGAGCTCATAAAACTCAAACGGAATTCTCTCTGAAGTAAGTCAACAAGCACATCAAACTCGTGCCGACTTGTTCAGATACACTCAAACACATTTGAATTGGACTAAGCTTCAAAGCCCTCGTTAAGGTGTATTCAAACAAAACCCTCAAATACAGGTTGACATCATCAAACGTCACCCTGCATTCAAACTCAAGTCGACGTCATCAAACGTCAACCTACAGGTGTCACACACGTGTCATCATCAAGCTGCGGAACAGAATCAGAGGATTTAGTTTATTTTATTATAAATTGTTATATAGAGATTGTACCCAAAATTCGTATATTAATATAAATTCATTTGTTACTTTATTTCCCGTCTTTATTTATTTAGACTCGAAATTTGTGTAAACAATTTTTGGCACGCTCGGTGGGACAATTTTCGCTCTTCATCTCCAATCTTCAAGTCTCAAAACTCGTAGATTTAATGGGGGCATACCAAATTTGCTTTCTAATTCTACATTAAAATTTCGAGACCAAGTTGCATCCGATGTCAAATCTCCACAACAGGTCTCGAGGGGGCGTTTGTTGACACCGAAATTTTGTTAATTATTAAGTGTCGGATATATGTAAATAAGAAGATAATATATATATATATATATATATATATATATATATATATATACATATAAGATATTATCATCAAGATCACATATAATATTTAATAGCTATCTTGTTTACTACTCTACAATACTCTATATAAAGAGGGTCATTTATAGGTTTATAAGGCTCAGATGGAACAAGTCACAAAGACCCCATCTCCTCCCTACTACCAAACATTGTAGGTACAAAGTATGGATTAAGCCGACAAGGCCCCGTACTTTAAACAAATATCAAACCCTAGCCCTTTGGAGAGAGGAATCAAGAGATCTACGAGAGTTGTAACCCACAAATTATCAATGAAATAATTGTTCCCGTATATTTTTCTACCTCTTTAATTATGTATTGCAGGTTTGAATTTTTATAATTTATACAAATTGGCACGCTCAGTTGGACAATTTTCGCTCTTCATCTCCGTTCTCCAAGTTTCAAAATATGTGGGATCTATGGGGGCATGCCAAATTTGCTTTCAAATTCTACAGGAAAATTTCGAGACCAAGTTGCATCCGATATCAAATCTCCACAACAAGTCTCGAGGAGGAATTTGTTGACACCGAAATTTTGTTAATTATTAGGTGTCTGATATATGTAAATTAAGAGATAATATCAAAAATTAAGATATCTATCATCAAGATCTCGTAGAACATATGATTATTATCTTGTAAACTACTTTATGACTCTCTATATAAAGAGGTTGTCGTTTCTAGGTTTAATCGGGCTTAGATGGAATAAGTCACAAAGACCCCATCTTCTCCCAGTCGCCGTTTCTAGGTTTAATGAGGCTCAGATGGAATAAGTCACAAAGACCCATCTCCTCCCTACTACCAAACATTGTAGGTACATAGTATGGATTAAGCCGATAAGGTCCCGTACTACAAACAAATACAAAACCCTAACCCTTTGGAGAGAGGAATCAAGAGATCTACGAGAGTTGTAATCCACAAACTATCAATAAAAATCATTGTTTCCATATATTTTCTTCCTCTTTAATTATGTATTGCAGGTTTGAATTTTTATGGTTTACAAATTGGCACGCCCAGTGGGACAATTTTCGCTCTTCATCTCCACTCTTCAAGTATCAAAATTCGTACGTTTATAGGGTTTAAAGGAGGCTCAGATGGAACAAGTCACAAAGACTCCATCTCCTCCCTAATACCAAACATTATAGGTACATAGTATTGGCGAAATTTGTGTAAACAATTTTTGACACGCTCGGTGGGACTATATTTCCTCTCATCTCGGTTTCCGCACGTTCAAAAAAAAATAAATTGAAATGGCCTCAAAGACCCCTGTCGTCAAAATGATCTCTGCTACAGCTCAACAAAGGGCTACTGAGTTGGCTGAAATGCTTAACAGCCAAACTGACGAGGGCATCGTTACTAGAGGAATGAAGCAAGCTATTGTTGAATCCGCCGCAAGAAGCTTGCGTGCCGCGTCAATCCCAACCAAAGCACAAAAAAGTCGCGCTCGTCTTGCTGCTTCTGTGAGGTCTCTCACGTCCTCCACTCATGAACCACATAAGAGTTTTGTGTTTGGTTCATTAGAGCCTGTCATCCATACAAACTCATCCTTCGATCACTCTTATGAAGGACATGAGAATGAGTTTAGTGTGAGTTCACCTGAACCTACTTTTATTGCTGTTATGGTGACGCACACTAAGACGGTCGAACAACAACTGGCTGAAATGAGCAGTACCCTTTAACAGCTGAAGAAAGATGGGGAGGAAAAAGATGCTCAAATCAAACAACAAAATGAACAAATTGCTGCTTTGACAAAGAAACTTGAGAAAAAAACAAGTGAGACTGAAAGCGATGACAACTCAGATGGTAGCACTAAATCGGCGGAATTAAAGCCAAATGGGGCACAAAATTTAATCACTGTTGAACAAGTTCAAGCTATGATAGTCAATGCTGTCAAGAGCCAACTTGGAGGGGGAGGTTCATATAATAGTCGACGTTATGTGAAGCCTTACACTAGGAGGATAGATTAGCTGAAAATGTCGTTTGGATACCAACCTCCAAAATTTCAACTCTTTGATGGAAAGGGTAACCCAAAACAACATGTTGCATACTTCATAGAGACGTGCAGCAATGGTGGTACCAAGAGTGACCTGCTTGTTAAAAAATTCGTTCGTTCTCTTAAGGGAATCTCTTTTGACTGGTACACCAACTTAGAGGCTGAGTCCATTGACAGTTGGGATCAAATTGAAATGGAGTTTTTGGGGCGATTCTTCAGCACTGAGCGTGTCGTTAGCATGACTGAGCTAACTCAAACTACGCAGTGGGATGAAGAGCCAGTCATTGATTACATCAACCAATGGCGCGCTCTAAGTTTGGAATGTAAGGATCGACTCACTGAAACTTCTTCCATAGAAATGTGCATTATTGGGATGAGTTGGGAACTGCATTACATCCTAAAGGGTATCAAACCAAGATCTTTTCAAGAGTTTGCAACGAGAGCTCATGACATGGAACTCTCGATCACCTACAACAGGAAGAAAAAGGGGCTTGCTTCAGAAGCCAGGAAAGAAAAAAAGGAGTAATATAAAAATGACAAATCCTCCAAAAGTTCAACTAAGGAGACGTTGTCTGTGACTACTTCTTCTGCACCCATCAAAATTTCAGGGAAGAAGAAAGAAGAAAGTAAGGGTTCATCTTTGAGATTTTTCAAGAAAGATAAACCCACTTTGAAAGAGCTTCAAGCTAAGAAGTACCCTTTCCCAGACTCTGACTTGTCTGGCATGTTAGACAAATTACTGGAAAACAAAATCATCGAGTTGCCTAAGTCAAAGCGCCCTGAGCAGATGAACAAGACATCCGATCCCAATTATTGTCTGTATCATAGGTTGATTAGTCATCCTATTGAAAAGTGTATAACACTTAAGGAGAAAATTATGCAATTGGCAAAGGATGGGACAATCGAGCTAAATGTCAACGAGCCAGTGACATCAAATCATGCCTCGGTAGCTACTGAACCATCATTTCAGGCTCAATCTTTG